TACGGAAGGTCTTTATTTCACCTTCATTCATAAATGAGAGGTTTGCAGGGTATATTGTTCTGGGTTGACAGTGTTTTTCTCTTAAGTCCTGGAATATATCTTGCCATTCTCTCCTAGCCTGTAGGGTTTCTGATGAGAAGTCAGCTGTGAGTCTAATTGTAAATCCTCTGAAAGTTATCTGGTGTTTCTTTTGTGCACATGTTAAAATCGTTTCTTTATCTTTTACTGTGGAGAGTTTGACTACAATGTGTTGTGATGGATATCTTTTCTAGTCATGTCTATTAGGAGTTCTACATTCTTCCTGTACTTGGATATCCCTTTCTTTCTCAAATTAATGGAGTTTTCTGTAGTTATTTCACTAAAAAGGCCTTCTAATCCATTCTCTCTTTCCATGCCTTTAGGAACTCCTAGGAGTTCCAACACTGTTTTTTAGTTTTATAATTTTTTTGGTCTGACAGTAAAATTTCCAGAGATTTGTATTCTATCTTGGATATTTTGTCTTCTGCCTCATTGAGTCTGTTGTTAAGTCTTTCCACTGCATTTTTTATTTGATCCACTAAATTCTTCTTTTCCAATATTTCATTTTGATTTCTCTTTAAAATCTCAATTTCATGGGAAAGGTATTCATTCATGTCATTATGGATTTCTTTAATTTGTATATTTGCTTCTGATTACTTCTAAGTAAGCCTATGATCAATTCCTTGAGTTCCATTTCCTGTATTTCTTCAATATCTTCATGTTTTCCTTATTCTTGTTTCTTGAATTGCTGTTTATTTTTAGGCATCTGTAGAGAAACTTTTTGGGTTTTTTTTTGTTTTTGTTTTTTTCCCCATGATGGTTTTTATCTTTGGAGTTGGTCACATGGGTACGGAACACCTAAAGGACAGTCTCCAGAACCCCCAGAAGTAAAACTGAGAGCTCAAGACCTTCAACTGAACAAAACCAGGCATTTACCACAGATCACACTGTTGACATAAGTCATCTGGAGGTACCCTGGGCTTCAGATATACAAAGACACTCTGATGAGGCAGCATGTTAGAAGGGTTTCTCTCTCTAGCATAACATCCAAGGTTATATACAGGGTTTGAGCTTCCCAAACCATTTGAATTAACCTATCACTGCTTCCCTATCATAATGAAATATTTCTTTGTTCCAATGTCTCACATTTCATAGACATTTTACCTGATACTATCTACTCAAGTGTCTCAAATATAGTTCTATCGCTTTATCTCCTGCTGAATAATGATTAACAACTTAACAATTACTGAGGGGAAATATCCATATTCTTTGGGTATGTTACTTACCTAAGGACAAGGACCCTGGATTGCCAGGACCAAATGAAGTTCCTAGCAGCAGGAACTTTGAATAGGAAGTATTCAATAATTTTTTTAAAATTAAAAGCTGTTTATTTTGCCCCCCAACAAAACTGAAATCTATAGAATAGTTTTTGCATAATACATTTTCCCCATGAACTGTTTTGGATCTATCATATTATTTTTGTAATACAAACTTACATTTAAAAACTGTAACAAATACATTTGCTTTGAAAGATTATATAATGAATATACCATCTACTTTTCAAGTTTCTTTTCCTCATGTTTCTCATTCTGTCTCTGCCAAGTTCAATTTTTACACTGCTTTTCAAGGTTTAGGGAACATTCCACTCTTATCGTAAAGCCTGCTCAAACCATCAAAACAGGAATTTGTGCTTCCTCCTCTATGTTACCATAATGTTCTTCATTTCTGAAGTGTACATAGCATAATTCACTTTGCATTAACATTGTGAGCATACCTTTTTACCCAACGTTGGCTTGTAAACACTAAGACCATGACTAACCCATCTTTATATTACCCAGAAATCCTACCCTAATGTGTTGCTTCAGGTTATTAAATTAAATTGAATATGCAATTATTTAATCATAATTTTTCAAGGTCATATTACCAGGCTGAAATGGAGCTAAGAAAAATGTAACTAATGTCTAAATTTTTATAATTGTTGAACTCTGTCTGAATCTCAGAAAAGTAGTATTATTTGGTTTCAAATAAGAGTAAATGAAAAGTAGATTAGACCAAGCACATAAGAACACAGTGTACAGAACAGCTGTACTGTGTTCTCAATGGGATAAAATAAATTATAATTATAGATGTGTTTCATCTTTCCTGTCTGTGTACTCTTTTGAAGATGTTCTCAACTTCAGTGCTTTAGGGATTTATTTATCAATATGTCTGATATTGATTTGATTGGTTTTGCTGACATCATGTCAAAATATCTGAAATATACCTTAAAAATAAGAACTCTCAGGGCAGATGTGTAGTCTGAGACTTGGGATGCTAACTGGGACACCTGAATCACATATTGTGTTCTGAGTTTGAACCCTAAGCTCTGATTCCTCCTAATTCATGGCCTGGAAGCCAGCAGTAATGGCTCAAGTGACTGGGGTCTCGCCAGCCATATGGGAGGACTGTATTAAGTGGTTGCCTCCCAGTTTCAGTCTAGTGTATAAAAATTGGCAAGAGTGTCACTGTCAATACTTTGATTTATGTACACTTCAGGGTGCTAACATTTAACACATGGAACAGGATTAGGGACACCCCATTGTTCAAAGTCTCATCAATATAGAAGTGATTGACTTTGTTACAAGTCAGAAATTAAGAGCCAAAAAGTGAATTTCAATCCAAATGTTTGGACTATAAGGAGATTCTTTTTGTTCTTCTTACACATTTCCCCTTTCTTATGGCAGTTTTTCCTTCTCTCATTTTGTTTGTATGTTCTCAGATTTTATTTTCTATATTCTGCCCAACATTGGCTTATTCAAATCTGTTTTATTAAGTGTATACTAAGTGCTTAGCACTTTGCGGTGCATAAAGAACACTACCAGCCAAGAGTTTTGTTTAAACTTACCAAAGTTGTATGAACCTAGGGCTTAATATCATGACAGGGAACTATAAAGATAAGACAGGGTTTACTTCTGAAAATGTTATGGTGTGAAGCTGGAGAGATTATGATGTAGAGCTGAAGAACTAGCTATGATTATCTATAGTTATAATTAGGCAATGTATGAAGGACTATAAGAGCACACTTAAGAAGTTCGCAAACAGAAAGGAAAGTCCCAGAACTGAAGTATTATGGATATTCACAAAAGAGGGAAAAATGTGGAATAAATATGTTTTTAGGGAATATTGAAAATCTCTTTCCTGGAAAGCGGGAAGCCTTCATTTACAAGTATCCATCAAGATTAAATATTTTTTTATTTTATTTTTTATTTTTTTAACTTTTATTTAGTAAATATAAATTTCCAAAGTACAGTTCATGGATTACAATGGCTTCCCCCCCATAACTTCCCTCCCACACGCACCCCTCCCATCTCCCACTCCCTCTCCCATCCCATTCACATCAAGATTCATTTTCAATTATCTTTATATACAGAAGATCGATTTAGTATATATTGAGTAAAGATTTCATCAGTTTGCACCCACACAGAAACACAAAGTGTAAAATACTGTTTCAGTACTAGTTATAGCATTACTTCACATTGGACATCACATTAAGGACAGATCCCACATAAGGAGTAAGTACACAGTGACTCCTGTTGTTGACTTAACAATTTGACACTCTTGTTTATGGCGTCAGTTGCATGTACCAATGCCATCTCACTAGTCCAAGTGATCAATTTCAGTTCACAATTGATCACACTGATAGGTCTGAGAGTCAAAGGGATCACACAAACAAGACTAGTGTCTGCTAATACTAACTGACAGAATAAAAAAAGGGAGAGAACGATCCAACATGGGAAGCGGGATACACAGCAGACTTATAGAATGGCAGATGTCCTGAACAGCACTCTGGCCTCAGAATCAGCCCTTAAGGCATGCGGATATGGCTGATGAGCCCATGAGAGTATTTTAGGCATGGAAAGCCAAGACACTCTGGCAAAAACAAAACAAAACAAAACAAAACAAAAAAAACAAAAAAAACAACCTAAATGAAAGATCTCTGTGAATGAGATCCCAGTGGAAAGAACGGGGCCATCAAAGAAGGAGCTACCTTTCTCTGAAGGGAGGAGAGAACTTCTACTTTGACTATGACCCTGTCTGAATAAGATCGAAGTCAGTGAACTCAAAAGGCTTCCATAGCCTGGGAAACTCATGGCAAGAGCCTAAGATTAAGCATTCTTTACATTAATTATATACTTATGTATATACTTAAGTATATACAAGTATTATATACTTACCAGTTTATTATAGTCAATTTTGCTTGCCTGAGTCTATATTATGGCTTACCTATAAACATTTTATTCAGTGTACTGGGACCAGGAATAAAGAAACAAATCTGGAGAGCAGTTACTGAACAAGACTGATTTTTTTCCCATAATATCATTATATAGCTATCTGCCTATACTGAAGTATTAAAGGAAACACAGGAAAAAATCAACCAGGGAAAACTATACTCCTTTTCTACTTGGTCAAATCAGAGAGATAAAATTGTCCCATCTCTCTACCTGTCAAATTCTTATTCTGTCTCAAATGTATATATTTTTAATCTGTATAAAGTATTTTACAGTTGGTGTAATAAGCATCTTCTGTTGTACATTTGTGTATTAGTTTAATGTCTTTAATGTTAGCAAATGTTCTGTGTTTTAAGATTAAGTAGCGCAGTGATACAAAGCAGTGCATCTGACCGGTCCCATGTTAATCAAACATATTTTCCTATATTTATCATGACATTGATTGTGTACTCTCAATATATACAAAGATCAAAATTGTAAGTTTAAGATAGTAAAATAACATGCACTAATCATTCCTCCAGAGTGGTTAGAAATGATGTCACTTAATGAAGGTTTTGAGCAGATTTTTGAAAGTCTCCTGATGCCCTAAAACTGATCGAGAAAATAAAGTGAAGAAATGCGTGATTACTGTTTTCCTGTTAACAGATAGGTGCAACACTTCATTTTGCAGGTTCCCTGTGTTTGTTACTAATGAACGCACTTTTGCATTTACAGGAGAACGTTGAAGGAGGCGACTGCAGTCGTTGCAAAATGGGTTTCTTCAATTTGCAGGAAGCTAATCCAAAAGGTTGTGAAGAGTGTTTCTGTTCAGGGGTTTCAGACAGATGTCAGAGCTCCTACTGGACCTACGGCAACGTAAGCATTCCCTGCACTGCTTCAAGGGCTGCCCTGGCTGCCATGGTTGTTCTTGTGTAAGAACAACCATGATTGATCATAGATTTTTTGTCTTGTAATGAGCTTCTGCTTAAAGTTACCATGAAGTGATGGGGTTTTCTTCCCACACTGTACGTCTGTACACAAAGCCATTTTATTGGTAACAGTGTGTAAACTGGATCCTTTTAGAATGAGTAGACACTAGTTCACTGTCAATGATCAGTCAGTGAAACTATAATGTCATTAATATTGTTTCGATTCCGAAGATACATGACTTAATAGAGAAAGAGTGAGATGATGATATCAAGAATTTGATTTCTACTCACCACTATTTTTGTATGTAAGGTAAGCAAAAACTCAGTTGAGGTGTCGCCTGGGGTACCTGCATCCATATGTAAGTGCCTGGGTTCCAGTCCTAGTTCCACACCTGATTCCAGCTTCCTGCTAATGTGTACTCTGGGAGCAGCAGATGATGGCTCAGGGATTTTAGGCCCTGCCACCCACAGAGGAGAGCTGGATTGATTCTAGCTCTTCGCTTCACACTCGCCCAGTTCCAACTGTTTGAGGCATTTATAGTGAACTAGTAGATGGGAGCGATCAATCTCACTTACCTCTTACCCCATCGTATCATCTACCAGTATAATACAGACATATATCTATATTATCACCTATTTGTTGTTGCCTGAGTTCTTTCATTGTTAAGAGGAGATACTAAATTGGACAACACCTTCATTCTTAGGCCACTAGAACAATTTTGAATTATTACTCAAACTATTTGGTGATTTTCTTCCTCTACCATAAACCCTACCACACTGTGCACTGCCTCTCAATGCAGAGGGCATTTTCTCTCCCTATAGAAAAAGTATGAAGGAAGGGGGATGTTCCAGGACTTTCAAGTAGCTCTGTAGCTGAGCCTAAGAATATAAGATGGTAGAAAGCAGACTGGAGAGACAAACCAAGAGGAACAGTGAGAAACTAGAGCTTAGATGCTTGAGTAGGCAGAGAGGTGGGGATATTCTCTTTGGAGAGTCATTAAGGGACTTCAAACAGAGGAATGATGTAATCGAAGTTATCTTTTACAAAAACTGCTGTTTTGGTAAACTATTTCCCAAACATTTCTTTTTTCATCTTTAATCTGCTGATGAATACTGAACACTAGCAACTAATTTTACGTGCCTAAATTGCTTTTAAGTCAAGTTTTAAATAATGAGAAATTACTATCTAAAGTTGACCCAAACTGTTGCTTTCGGAGTAGACTCCAAAAAGGTCAAGAACAAATGGGCATCTTTTCTAACTTCCTAATTTTGTCCTTAAAATCCCAGCCAACCCTTCTGCCTGCTCCACTGGGTGGTAGAATTTCTTGTCTAGCCAAGGTGCAGAGCTGGAACTCATGCCTTGGTCTTTGGAAGCTACATGCCCTGAATCTCACTTAACTGTTTTACAGTGCTTGAGGATGATATTGGAAACAGAAGAGGAGAAGGAGTGTATTACTGACTGTCTAGGCAGCCAGTAAGCTGTTGTCTGGACTCATTTATCTTTGGCCAAGGCGTGCTTTCACCATTACTGTGCTGCTGCTCATTGCACATACCACCTAGCCCCTCACATAGGTCCAATAGGTGCGTGGAAGCTGGGAGCCAAAAACCTTAGCAGCCAGTGTTTTCTACTTATTGCTAGGGCACATTGTTTTGTTTTGTTTTGTTGTTTTGTTTTGTTTTGTTTGGAGGTAAAATAGCAAGGTTTATTAGGGAAGGGACATCTGTAAGGATGGATGGGCACCTCTCCAGACAGGACCCAAGAGAGTGCCCAGTCGCTTGGACTTGGGGGGGAGGGCAGCGAGGTTACATGGTTGAGTAGAGAGATTACACCTGGCCAGACCAGGCGGGCGGCTCAGCAGAGCACATTGTTTTTTTTTATTATTCTTGTTGTTGTTGTTGGTATTATCATCGTCATGTTTAATTTTGGTAGGACATTTGAAATTTGAAAATCATCTGTGTGCCTCACTTTGGCCAGAGTATAAAAATGGAAATGCATATCTTATACATACCCTTATTCCTAGTAAAAGTCTATTTTCTTTCCTGGGTTGGAGATCTAGGTTTTGAGACCCTATGGGATGGAATACATACAGTATTGACAGGTGTTTTCATAGCAAAATGCTAGTGGAGTCAGAAATCCATAAGTCCCACAGTAGAAACTTTAAAAACTGGGAAAGGAAGAAATATTAAATTAAAAAGCTCCTTTTAGATGCTCACATATTTTGTTTTCTTTCTCTGATTTACAAATATAATGGATCTTCAAAAAGTTCATGGAAAATATGCATTATGAATAAACTATGCATGGATTTCAAAACATAGCAAAAATATATTTTTAAAATTTTATCTTCTATGAACTTTTTGAGACCTCTTTGTACATATGTAACACTTTTGAGATACTTTTTCATCAACAACAAGAAATTACTGGAGTAAAAAATATGAAATTTAAAGCACAACTATTTTTATGTTGTATAATGTTATAACTATTGTGTGACTTTCAATGGATTTCTTAATTTAATAAAGCAGCAATTGGAGTCACAGTTTTTTAAAAAATAATACAGGATGAATAAAAACTGATTATTATGTAGTACCATAAAAACTACTGGAAACGTCAAGGGAAAGTGGGGGTTTATATATTTGATGAGTTTCAAAATATTCATAACTCTTCCAAATGCTTATCTTTTTTGCTGTTTTTTAAACTTTCAAAATGGGGACAGGCATTTGGCAGAGTTTAGGTGCTACTTGGAATGCTCACATCCCAAATCAGAGTTGCATGTACTTTGAATCCCAGCTCAGCTTTTTTTTTTTTTTTTTATTTTTTGACAGGCAGAGTGGACAGTGAGAGAGAGACAGAGAGAAAGGTCTTCCTTTGCCGTTGGTTCACCCTCCAATGGATGCCGTGGCTGGCACGCTGCAGCCGGCGCACCGCGCTGATCTGATGGCAGGAGCCAGGTACTTCTCCTGGTCTCCCATGGGGTGCAGGGCCCAAGCACTTGGGCCATCCTCCACTGCACTCCCGGGCCATAGCAGAGAGCTGGCCTGGAAGAGGGGCAACCGGGACAGAATCCGGCGCCCTGACCAGGACTAGAACCCGGTGTGCAGGCGCTGCAAGGCGGAGGATTAGCCTAGTGAGCCGCGGCGCCGGCCCCAGCTCAGCTTTTGAGACTGGCTTCCTGCTAATGTACACCCTTGGAGGCAATGGTATTGGCTCAAATATTTGAGTCTCTGCCACCCACAAAGGAGCCCTGGGTTGAGTTGCCTGCTCCCAGGTTTGGCCTTTCCTAGCCCAAGCTGCTCTCTGCATTTGATGACCGAACCAGTGGATGGAAGATCTCTGTCTGTCTGTGTCTCTCTTTGCCTTACAAAAGTTTTTAAATGTAATAAGCCAAAAATAGCTACTATAGAAATATGAAATACGAGAGGAACTGATGAATGTTTCTTTTTCTAATAAATGATGCTTGTGTGTTTGCCTAAGATACAAGATATGAATGGCTGGTACCTGACTGATATCTCTGGCCGCACACGAGTGGCTCCTCAGCGGGACAGCTTACATTCACCAGAGCAGATCAGCATCAGTAACGCACAGGTCCGGCAAGCCCTGCCCAACAGCTACTACTGGAGTGCACCAGCTCCGTATCTGGGGAACAAAGTAAGTGCTTCCTTCTCTCTACTCTCCTTTAAGCGACTGATCATAACAATGAGTTCTATTTAGTATTTTATTAAAGAAAGATGAAGTCAAATACATACTGTATTGAATTGCTAGAACCGCTAAATCAGACCAACTTGGTCATTTCTCCTGTGTCACATGTGCAAGGTATGTATGTTAGACATTAATGGCCCACGGAATCTCTATTTCACAACTTTATGCACTCCTAATTGGTGTTCTGTGTATACTTTTTGAATGAATGACTAAGTTAAGGAAGACTTTAGGGTATTTTTATAAAACAAATTGCAGATATTAGATGACACTCTGTTGTGTTTTTTGAAGATATTTTTTGTGTAGAGTGGTCTATGGAGTGCTACTTACTGACGTTTTTCTCATCTGTCGCTATTTCATTTGAAAACTGATATTGAAGAGCACTACTTTTTCTACTGCCTGGTATGAATGTTAATTGGAAAAGAAATTTATTACATAACTAGTTTAATGCTTGCCATGAGACTGTGTAAACAACATATTTCCTAAGTTCAGACAAAGAGCCACCTTGAGAGTGCCAGATGGGAAGCATGTGTTTATTCTGAAGCAGGCGCACATGTGTATAAAAACAAACAAACACAGATAAACAAAGGTAGCCCCACAAGGACGGGCTTTCCCTTGTGTTCTGGATTAATGCTCATCTATATAAGGTGCTTTATGTCTATGATTTTGCCTAATAATTTGTTGGAAACAACATTTTATATGAGTACTTGCTTGTTCTGTGAATGTTAATACCTTATCATCTGATAGGCAAATTACTGTTATCACACCAGAAGCTGTGATGGAAAAAACCTTTAATGAATTGATGCTGTTTAAACCAAGTTTTCATGTGTAAGAATATGGTATTACTTTTGAAGAAGCCTTCATTGAGAAAATAGAAGTATATTTATAGCTAGGAGTTCTCTTTTATGACATGTGAATGTTAGAATAAAAAAATTCAGTAGCTTATATGCTAATCAGTGAATGGAAACTGGTGGTTTTAGCCAATTGAAAAATTATATGTCATGGTCAGTTTCTTATTTTTAATGGGCTTCTAAGTAATATAACAAAAATGTGTAAATGAATAAAACAAGTTTTCAGTTAACTTGTATTTTAAAAGAGACAGCGTATGTTGCATAAAATTCAATAGCTGCAATAAAAATCTAATTAAACTTTTATTTGCAAGGCCTTTTATGACAAGTCATTTTATCCTGTTCTATTTAGGAACCTCCTGTATTTTCAACAAGAATAAAATAGCACACAAGACTTGAGTTTCTATTGCTTAAAATTGCCAAAAAATAAAATAAATAAATGAGCATATTATTTTTAATTGCTCTGAGGAGCTCCAAGAAGAGCTTCAGGTCTAAATTAGATAGGATTCAGCAATCTGACTTATAATTTGATCATAACATTTATTTAAAGGTGGCTTATAATAGAAATAACCACATTTTCCATCATTTCTTCTTTGGTCATATGCTTTTTCTTTTTGTTGGCTGAAAATCAAATTGACAGAAGGAAAGCAAATAAATGGGATGTTAAATAGCATCCAAGCAAAGGATTTGGACATCCTGTTCATTGCTGCTGGTTCCCAAAGATAACTTCCCTTATCCTGGATGAACTGTTTCTTATAACCACCCACAATGAATATTTCCCCACAGATCATTTTCACATCAGAACTCTGTGTTTGCCTGTGCTCCAGTTTCCATTCAGTGAACAAAATAATGGTAACAGGGTGTGCAAATTGTCTGAATATGGAAGACATTTTTAAACGTAATGTGGAAGCCCTTGGTGGTTTACTGTCAGACATCTCAGTATGAATGAAACAATTTGCCTTAATAACTGAACCATATAAATTTTTGATACTACAATAATACTGCAAGCTCTCAGAAATTACCACAGTACATCTTAACTGTCATGTCCCATCACGTAAATTATAGTCATGATGACATGCTTAGCTTGGTTGATTTAATATCTTGCTAAGGAAATGGAAAATTGTAGAGCCTTGTGTATAAATTCAATAAAGCCACTTTTCTAAATAGTTGAGCCTAAATTCTTCACCAGTAATTGCTGTTCGATTCAGAGCCATTGCCAGAATCTGACAGAAATAGTATATCAAGAAACCAGCGCATCTGCTTAAATACAGAATTTCATTTACATCCATGACCAAGAGGCTCTGGGTACATAATTCCTCCTCTGCATTTTGAATGTCAATTCCCAAGTTGAAAAAAATATTTATGAGATGCTATTAGCTTTTTCTAAATATTTATGTAACTAATTTTCAAACATTTTTCCAAGTCACTTAGTTAGAAGGCAACTTCTAACAGAAGGCAGATTCGCTGTATATATTCTCTGGTAATGGCGACACCACATGCCCATCTTCATTTCATAGGAATCCAAATAATGCAAGTGCATTCATATGGGACACACTTTGCTAACATAGAAATCTTCTCTGTAATAAAATTCAAGAACACAAGTCAGTTTGGCAAAGAAGTACATATTTACTTCTATATTCTTTGGAATAATGAGAAGTGATTAAAAGTCTATGTATGGGCCGGCACCATGGCTCACTTGGCTAATCCTCTGCCTGCGGCGCCGGCACCCCAGGTTCTAGTCCTGGTTGGGGCACCAGGTACTAGTCCTGGTTGCTCCTCTTCCACAGCTCTCTGCTGTGACCCAGGAGGGCAGCAGAGAATGGTCCAGGTGCTTGATCGCTGCACCTGCATGGGAGACCGGGAGGAAGCACTGGCTCCTGGCTTCGGATCAGTGCAGCGCTGGCATGGCAGCCATTGGGGGAGTGAACCAATGGAAGGAAGACCTTTCTCTCTGTCTCTCTCTCACTGTCTATAACTCTACCTGTCAAAAAAAAAAAGTCTATGTATGGATGGTAAGACAAACTTAGCGCATTTTGTACTGCCCATTGAAAAAACTCCTATGATCTCAGATATGTGCTAGTTCCTAGTAGCAATCTTGGCTGTTTTTTCTTGTAGGTGAATGAATATTTGGCACATATAGCAAAATCAAGTGTTAATTTTTCCACCTCATTGTAGACAATCAAAAGGAATTAAGTCAGGTAACCACAGGGCTATCCTAGGCAGCATTTATTTTTTAAATGCTTGGCAAATATTAGTGCTTGGTTTTAGGGCATTTATTTAAGCATAGAACAGGCAGGGCTGGAAAGAGCTTGAAAGGCAAAGAATCCTGCTGATTTGCTGCAAGCTGCAGCTATTCAGAAACAGTTTGGGAATTTCAGAATTGGGATAATTTGCTGCTTTTGTAAATTCAGTGCTATTGGAACATGGAAAGAGTCATTTACTTAAGGTTACCCTAGTGGGCTGAAATAGTTAGTATAGCTTCCTAAAGCACTTCCCAGCATCTGTAAAGTTCTCAGAGAATCTGGCTTGGCCGGTTTGCTCTCCCCACATTACCATTAATGCTTCAATTCTGTCTTGGAACATTATTAAATTAATGTTATGTGATTTGTCTTGCACAAAACAATGCCTGTTTTCTACAACATTATGGCATCTTTCTGTTTCTAGCTCAGAGAAGCTGTTCAACTTTTCATGTAGTTGCCAGGAATACCCATGGGGTAGCCTAAGCACCATGCTAGGAGAGCCTGCTTACACAGTAGCAGCTGGCTTCTGAAGGTACTTGTAGGTTGTACTTGCTTGATTTTCAGTTCTACCTCCCAGATCCCAAATGAAAGCTGTGGATTAGAAGAAGGAGGTTGGTGTTTGAGGTTTACAGGATAGTATAGTTCTTATGACCTAAAAGGAACTCAACAGATATCCTGTGGTGGATGCTACATGCCTAACCCAAACACAACTTGAAAAAAATTGAACTTCCTGCAATTTAACCCTTAAATTAAAATAATTCATTAAGGAGATCATTATGTTTATGAAGAATGACAAGGCCATTAAAGTAAATAGGATAATTCATTTGTGATTTATTATTTTTTCAATAAACCAGATCCCGTAAAGAATGATATGGTAATGGAATAGGACCAAGAAGAAAACTCGCTACCTAAAATAAACCCAATGAATTATTAATGGCAAATAAAACAATAAAGATTAAAAAAAAGGATTCATGTCTTTCCTCTGGTTATTACAGAGGCCTATTGTTGTAAAATTAGCCCACTGAGGAGGTCTTGTGGTCAAACAGAAGTCTTATGGTCTGACATAGCCTTTTCATAATATTATCTTCATGTTTCTTCTATTAAATTTATAAAGCATTAATTCCAATATAACAAAAATTGTATAAAGCATTTAACTGTTTGTGTGCATTCTCCTACTTACAGTGCTGAGTAATGAAATATAATAGGAAAAAGGCTAATTTTTACAGTTGATCCAGTGACTTAATATTTAAGAGGGAAACATTCAGTTTAATAGCAACTTGGTAAGGAAAATCAAAAAGTTTACTTCACAGTAACTTTAGACAACTTGGTTTGCAATAGAGGCAACATAACTACCATAAGGTAGGGCTGCCTTAATAGAGTTTACTCATCAAGACAAAGAAGGTAATGATGGCAGAGATCCTGAACAAAACCCATGTCACCTAAAATACTGAACTTATTTGTACTTTTCCATTTTCATCTACATGCAAATGTATGACCAGCATTTTAAGCTAAAAATCAACAGTATGAACTGGGAAGAAACAGCCAGGATTAAAATCCAGATGTGTCTAGCTGTTTTTAGTTCGGCCTTTTTTCAGTTGATTATGTTTATTAGTTCTTGTGAGAACTATTCTTTGGAATAGAGATGCAGAAACAATTTATCCAGAAGAAAGCAGAAGAAAGGAAACAGTAAAATATGAATTTACTGGAGGCCAGCATTATGGCTTGAGGGGTGCGGCTAACCCCTGCAACATCCCATACGGGTGCTGGTTCCTGTCTTGGTTGCTCTGCTTCAGATTGGGCTCCCTGCTGGCAGCCTGGGAGGGACAGTGGAGGAAGCCTGGAGTGCTTGGGGCCCCAGGCTTAT